GTGAGATGACAAAATTTCATCATCAGAAGGAGGCCTTTCCATAACTTTATTATGCTGATTTTGGAAAATTATTGGGTTAACTACTTCTTTTCCACCGAAGTGGTTTGAAAACAATCATATGGTTGGATCTCAAATTACATAAAGCACAAGAATCCCCGTTTGACTAGACCCTCGGAAGCTCATTGACCAACCAGATATCATCCCACCGGTCTGCAAATTCCCAGCTGTCGGCCAGAAGCCATTCCATCAGTTTCTGAGCACTCAGCCTGCTAGCCAACACAAAAAAGTCTCGTACTAAAAGTTGTTAACATGTCGATTTTTTTCGACAAGATATAGTTTAGGCGAGCGGTCACGTCGTACGATACGAAAGCATACTTATGATATGTCTTAAGCAATGTAGACAACTTAAAAAAATATTGCTTGTTTGATTGCGTCAGAAGATACGAAAGCATACTTACAGAATCGTTAAACAATACACATTTTAGATTACAAAATTACGTAAATCATAAAACCGTCACTCAAGTTTAGGGAAATTAGGTCTAGTCATTTTTGCTTTGATTTTAATTCTTGTTCGATTTAGTTACAACCCTGAAGATTTTTCCGAAGAAGCGAATACCTCAATATACTGTTTCATTAACATCTTTACTTTCTGCCATTCTAGATATTTTTTTGCTTAGCTTGTATGACATGGAACATTGTGCATGTACTTGTTGGTATTTAAATAATATTTTAAAGCTCAAAATACAGACTATAAAACTTATTAATCCGAAACTCGTCTTGATTCTTATAGATTAACATAGTTTCTCTATTGTATGATGTTTTCTAAACAATTGCACTCCCTATCTAGGTAATTTTTTTTTATATTTATATTAGTATCTAGTTTAATTCATATATATTCTTCATATGTTTGATAAATAATTTTGAATATTTATTAAAAACAAAGTAAAACTAACCACATATTTATTACAAAATAAAGAATGTACCTTATAGAATTTTAAATGTTTTATAAATTTAAAATACTATCTTATAAAAAAGGAATAAAGTGAAAATGTAATCACGAAGAAATATTAATTGATGTATTTGTGATATGCGTAAACATATTATATGTAACTGATGCTATATATGAAATGACTTATTCAAAAAGGTAAGATCAAATAAAAAATTAATATAAGCATATATAAAATCAAGGAATAGTACACTGCATATCACCTACTAAAAATGTCATAACCATACATGATTTATAAATACTCTCAAGAAGTCATATTAGTAATCAAAAACTCAAATACAACTTGTATCAACAAGAAAAATGAGTGGATACAAGCAAACATTGTGTGTGTACCTCGTAGGAGTGATAATCAATTTCTCAATATATGAACGGTAATAAAGATCTTGCGCTGGCTCCAGTATCTGAGAAAAGGCTTCTACCAAATCCAGTATCTTGTGTGCAAAAGACAATGACAATTCCTAATTTTGTAGATGTTGTGAAACATTTCAAGTTCAGAGATATCACAAGAGATTGCTGCACCGTTCTACTTGCTCCAAGATTACAAGAGATTCCTAATTTTGTAGATGTATGTTTTTTTTTTTAATAACGATAATTTATATTTTGATTATTTGTGTACTTTTCCTAATGGTTTATTCATGTAAAAGACATTTGAAGAATATCATTTAAGATCTAGTAGTTCAGGTTTAAACTAACAAATATCTCTTGATACTGCATATAAATCAAATTATTTGGTTACGACATAAGATGTTAGAGTTTTGTAGATTTGGAAAAGAATATACTTAATCTGCTTCGGAAGCCATAACAAAAAGAACATGTTATTCATAATGCTCTTTTATCTTTAATAACGATAATCTCTAGTTTGATTATTTGTGTACTTTTCCTAATGGTTTATTCATGTAAAAGACATTTGAATAATATCATTTAAGATCTAGTAGTTCAGGTTTAAACAAACAAATATCTCTTGATACTGCATATAAATCAGATGATTTGGTTACGATATAAGATGTTAGACTTTTGTAAATAACAATAGTGTTGTTTTTTATATGTGTTGTTTCATCTATAAAGTATACGTATATATACACTTAACGGTTAATAAATCTTTCATAATAAAGATTTAAAGGTAAACTATTATTGACCACTAATTTTTATGAACACAATATCCATGTAACTTGATTCTAAAATTAAAGAAAATGAAATATGTACGATTAAGTGTAGTCCTACTTACTGCATTCTTGTATTATATTATTAGAATTTATCTAGTATCTATAACATCAATTTTAGTATTTTACTATTACTGATAACAATGCTTAAGTTTGTTCATTTCATTCTAAACCACATCAACATTTTTTTTATATATGTGTATTTAATATTTTTATTATGATTAATAAAAGATCAAAAGATCTAGAAAAATGTTGAAAAATAATAAGTATAATATATAATAATAAAAAAGTATAGACATTGGACTCTTAAGAGGCTCTACATTGGCAAAAAAACTACTATATGTAAGGATAACATGTCAACAACCTCAAAAATTACTTAATATGTTTCCGTATTTGTGATAATCAAGCACAGTAGCTATTGTTCTACAACAATACCACATCAGCATTACTTTATTCTACATAAGTGGGCACTTCTACATGTACTTAACAGAAAAACTAAAATTTAACATTTTTTCTTTTTCGTCTGTTTCTAACCCAATCATAAACAAAACACTGCTACTGCCTGAAGATGCTTGAGAAAAATGAAAACTTTATTATTTTACCATTTTTAACTATCAGAAGTGAGCACGTTAATAAATGTTTCACTCAGTTTTACATTTATTCATAGTAGTTTTTGAGTTTCGGGATGGTCAATACTATTTTCATATTTACTTAGCAAATAGGATGCAATATGGAGCAAAAGTGACAATTGTTGAACATGTCTGAGATGACAAAATTTCATCATCAAAAGGAGGCCTTCCCATAACTTTATTATGTTGATTTTGGAAAATTATAGGGTTAACTACTTCCTTTCCACCGAAGTGGTTTGAAGACAATCATATGGTTGGATCTCAATATACATAAAGCACAAGAATCCCCGTTTGACTAGATCCTCGGAAGTTCATTGACCAACCAGATATCATCCCACTGGTCTGCAAATTCCCAGCTGTCAGCCAGAAGCCATTCCATCAGTTTCTGAGCACTCGGCCTGCTAGCCAACACAAAAATGTCTCGTATTGATAGTGGTTAACATGTAGATTTTTTTCAACAAGATACGAAAAAATTACATGTAAGTATAACATGTCAGCAAGCTCAAAAATTACTTAATATGTTTCAGTCCTTGTGCTAATCAAGCACGGTAGTTATTGTTCTACAACAATACCACATCAGCATTACTTTATTCTACATAAGTGGGCACTTCTACATGTACTTAACAAAAAAAATAAAATTCAACATTTTCTTTTTCGTCTGTTTATAACCCAATCATAGCCAAAACACTGCTACTGCCTGAAGATTCCTGAGAAAAATGAAAACTTCATTATTTTACCATTTTTAACTATCAGAAGTGAGCACGTTAATAAATGTTTCACTCGGTTTTACATATATTCATAGTAGTTTTTGAGTTTCTGGATGGTCAATACTATTTTCATATATACTTAGCAAATAGGATGCAAAATGGAGCAAAAGTGACAATTGTTGAACATATGTGAGATGACAAAATTTCATAATCAAAAGGAGGCCTTCCCATAACTTTATTATGGTGATTTTGGAAAATTATAGGGTTAACTACTTCCTTTCCACCGAAGTGGTTTGAAGACAATCATATGGTTGGATCTCAATATACATAAAGCACAAGAATCCCTGTTTGACTAGACCCTCGGAAGTTCATTGACCAACCAGATATCATCCCACCGGTCTGCAAATTCCCAGCTGTCGGCCAGAAGCCATTCCAACAGTATCTGAGAACTCGGCCTGCAAGCCAACACAAAAAGGTCTCGTATTGATGGTTGTTAACATGTTGATTTTTTTCAACAAGATATAGTTTAGGCGAGCGGTCACGTCGTACGATACGAAAGCATACTTATGCAGTGTCGTAAGCACTGTAAGCAACTCAAAGAAATATTGCTTGCTTGATTGCGTCAGAAGATACAAAAGCATACTTACGGAATCGTTAAACAATAAACGTTTTAGTTAACAAAATTAGGTAAATCATAAAATCGTCACTCAAGTTTGGGGAAATTAGGCCTAGTCGTGTTTGCTTTGATTTTAATTCTTGTTCGATCTAGTTAGAACCCTGAAGATTTCCCCGAAGAAGCGAATACCTCAAGTTATTGTTTCATTCACATCTTCACTTTCTGTCATTTTAGATATTTTTTTACTTAGCTTGTATGACATGGAACATTGTGCATGCACTTGTTGGTATTTAAGATAATATTTTAAAGCTCAAAATACATACTATAAAACCCGTTAATCCAAAACTCGTCTTGATTCTCATAGATTAACATAGTTTCTCTATTGTATGATGTTTTCTAAACAATTGCACTTCCTAACTTTGTAATTCTTTTTTTATATTTATGTTAGTATATAGTGTAATTTATATACATTCTTCATATGTTTGATATATAATTTTGAATATTTATTAAAAATATAGTAATACTAACCACATATTTATTACAAAATAAAGAATGTACCTCATATACTTTTCAGTGTTTTATAAATTTAAAATGCTATCTTATGAAAAAGAAATACAGTAAAAATGTAATCACGAAGAAATATTAATTGATTTATTTATGATATGCGTAAACATCATATATGTAACTGTTGCAATATATGAAATAATTTATTCAAAAAGGTAAGATAATATAAAAAAAAAAAAATAAGCATATATAAAATCAAGAGAAAGTACACTGCATATCATCTACTAAAAATGTCATAATCATACATGATTTAACAATACTCTCAAGAAGTCACAATAGTAATCAAAAACTCGAATACAACTTGTATCAACAAGAAAAATGAGTGTGATACAAGTAAAAGTTGTGTTTGTATATCGTAGTAGTGATAATAGTGATACTATCAATTTCTCAATATACCAAAGGTAATAAAGATCTTGCGCTGGCACCTGTGTCTGAGAAAGGGCTTCTACCAAATCCTGTATCTTGTGTGCAAAAGACAATGACAATTCCTAATTGTGTAGATGCTGTGAAACATTTCAAGCTCAGCGATATCACAAGAGATTGCTGCACCGTTACATTTGGTGTTACACACGATTGTTTCGGGAAGTTGTTTCCTATGGGTTTCGTCTATCGTGTTATGATTAAGGTTTCATGCAAATTGTTAGGCATAGGCAGTGAATGAAATTTTTATTAATCATTATTTCTTTATTGTAACAAGAATAATTATTTTTTATTTTTTATAACAAATATATGTTTTATAAACTTAGCTATTTGATTATGAAATAAGGATAAAATGAATTGTTTACCACTCTTTTGGCCATTTGTTATTTTTTTTCGATATGTTTAACATTTCAACCAAATTAACTGCGGTTTTTAATTATTTGAAAGGTTAAAAAATGTAACATTTCATATTTTTATAAAATCTTCTTTTGTTACTTGTAGAATATGTGGAAATTGATTTAACATTATATATAATAATTTATAATTTCAATGATTGATCCAATTTCTGGTTTCATTTATGGGTCATCAGGATATTCTACTCGATATGTAATGAATCAGATTGAACAATACAATCATCATATTCATGTTTCATTCCAATGAAATCAAAATTTTATTGACTAATACTTTTTTTTAGGTTGTATCATAGTTTTTGCTTTCTAATGCTAATCTTTTCTGGCTTAGTTATCCGTAGATTTGGAAAAGAATATACTTACTCTGCTTCGGAAGCCATAACAAAAAGAACGTGTTATTCATAATGCTCTTTATCTTTAATAACGATAATCTCTTATTTGTTTATTTGTGTACCTTTCGTAATGGTTAATTCATGTTAAAGACATTTGAAGAACATCATTTAAGATCAAGTAGTTCAGGTTGAAACAAATAAAATATCTCTTGATATTGCATATAAATCAGATTATCTGGTTACGACATTAGATGTTATACTTTTGTAAATGACAAATAGTTTTGATTTTTATATATGTTGTTTCATCTATAAAGTATACATTTATATACACTTAACTGTTAATAAATCTTTCATAAGAAAGATTTAAAGGTAAACTATTATTGACTACTTAATATGTTTCCGTCTTTGTACTAATTAAGCACAATAGCTATTGTTCTACAACAATACCACATCAGTATTAATTTATTCTACATAAGTGGACACTTCTACAAGTACTTAACAAAAAAACTAAAATTCAACATTTTTTCTTTTTCAATTGTTTCTAGCCCAATCATAACTAAAACACTGCTACTACCTGAAGATTCCTGAGAAAAATGAAAACTTCATTATTTTACCATTTTTAACTATCAGAAGTGAGCACGTTAATAAATGTTTCACTCGATTTTACATTTATTCATAGTAGGTTTTGAGTTTTTGGATGGTCAATACTATTTTCATATTTACTTAGCAAATAGGATGTAAAATGGAGCAAAAGTGACAATTGTTGAACATGTGTGAGATGACAAAAGATCATCATCAAACGGAGGCCTTCCCATAACTTTATTATGCTGATTTTCGAAAATTATAGGGTTAACTATTTCCTTTCCACCGAAGTTGTTTGAAGACAATCATATGGTTGGATCTCAAATTACATAAAGCACAAGAATCCCCATTTGACTAGACCCTCGGAAGCTCATTGACCAACCATATATCATCCCACTGGTCTGCAAATTCCCTACTGTCGGCCAGAAGCCATTCGATCGGTTTCTGAGCACTCGGCCTGCTAGCCAACACAAAAATTCTCGTATTGAAAGTTGTTAACATGTTGATTTTTTTCGACAAGATATAGTTTAGGCGAGCGGTCACGTCGTACGATATGAAAGCATACTTATGCAGTGTTGTAAGCATTGTAAAGAACTCGAAGAAATATTGCTTGTTTAATTGCGTCAGAAGATACGAAAGCATACTTACGGAATCGTTAAACAATAAACGTTCTAGTTTACAAAATTATGTAAATCATAAAATCATCACTCAAGTTTAGGGAAATTAGGCCTAGTCGTGTTTGCTTTAATTTTTAATTCTTGTTCAATCTAGTTAGAACCCTGAAGATTTTCCCGAAGAAGCGAATACCTCAATATACTGTTTCATTCACATCTTCATTTTCTACCATTCTAGATATTTTTTTTCTTAGCTTGTATGACATGGAACATTGTGCATGTACTTGTTGGTATTTAAAATAATATTTTAAAGCTCAAAATACAGACTATAAAACCCGTTAATCCGAAACTCGTCTTGATTCTCATAGATTAACATAGTTTCTCTATTGTATGATGTTTTATAAACAATTGCACTTCCTAACTTTGTAATTATTTTTTTATACTTATGTTAGTATATAGTTTAATTCATATACATTCTTCATATGTTTGATATATAATTTTGAATATTTATTAAAAACAAAGTAATACTAACCACATATTTATTACAAAATAAAGAATGTACCTTATAGACTTTTCAGTGTTTTATAAATTTAAAATGCTATCTTATGAAAAAAGATTAAAGTGATAATGTAATCACAAATAAATATTAATTGATTTATATTTGATATGCGTAAACATGTTATATGTAACTGATGTTATATATGAAATAATTTATTCAAAAATGTAAGATAATATAAAATTAATATAAGCATATATATAATCAACCTAAAGTACACGGCATATCATATACTAAAAATGTCATAACCATACATGATTTATAAATACTCCCATAAAGTCACCATAGTAATCAAAAACTCAAATACAACTTGTATCAACAAGAAAAATGAGTGGATACAAGCAAAAATTATGTGTGTACATCTTAGTAGTGCTAATAATGATACTATCAATTTCTCAATATACGAAAGGTAATAAAGATCTTGCGGTGGCTCCAATGTCTGAGATCGGGCTTCTACCAAATCCAGTATCTTGTGTGCAAAAGACAATGACAATTCCTAATTGTGTAGATGCTGTGAAACATTTCAAACTCAGAGATATCACAAGAGATTGCTGCACCGTTCTACTTGTTGTTACACAAGATTATTTCGGAAAAGTTTTTCCTATAGGTTTCATATATCGTGTTATGATTAAGGTTTCATGCAAATTGTTAGGCATAGGCAGTGAATGAAATTTTTATTAATCATTATTACTTTATTGTAACAAGAATAATTATTTATTATTTTTAATAACAAATATATAATTTATAAACTTAGCTATTTGATTATGAAATAAGGAAAAAATGAATTTTTTACCACTCTTTTGGGCATTTGTTATTTTCTTCGATATACTTAACTTTTCAACCAAATTAACTGCGGTTTTTAATTATTTAAAAGGTTAAAAATGTAACATTTCATAGTTTATAAAACTTTTTTTGTTATTTGTAGAGTATGTGGAAATTGATTTCACATTCTATATAAGAATTTACAATTTCAGCGATTAATCCAATTTCTGGTTTCATTTATGGATCATCAAGATATTCTACTCGATATGTAATTAATCAGCTTGAACATTACAATCATCATATACATGTTGCATTCCAGTAAAATCAAAATTTTATTGACTAATACTTTTTTTTAGGTTGTATCATAATTTTTGCTTTCTAATGCTGATCTTTTCCTGCTCAGTTATCCGTAGATTTGGAAAATAATATACTTACTATGCTTCGGAAGTCATAACAAATAGAACGTGTTATTCATAATGCTCTTTAATTTTAATAACAATAATCTCTAGTTTGTTTATTTGTGTGCCTTTCCTAATGGTTTATTCATGTTAAAGACATTGGAAAAACTTCATTTAAGATCAAGTAGTTCAGGTTGAAACCAAAAATATCTCTTGATACCGCATATAAATCAGATTTGGTTACGACATATGATGTTATTTGTAAATGACAAATAGTTTTGGTTCTTATATGTGTTGTTTCATCTATAAAGTATACATTTATATACACTTAACTGTTAATAAATCTTTCATGATAAGGATTTATAGGTAAACTATTATTGACTACTAATTTTTGTAAACAAAATATCCATGTAACTTGATTCTAAAATAAAAAAAAAAAAATATGTACGGTTAAGTCTACTCCCACTTACTGCATTTTTGTATTATATTATTAGAATTTATCTAGTATCAACTACATCAATTTTAGTATTTTACTATTACTGATAACAACATTTAAGTTTTTTCATTTCATTCTAAACCACATCAAAAAAATCTTTATATAAGTGTGTTTAATATTTTTAATAAGAAAATAAAAGATATAGAAAAATTTTGAAAAATAATAAATTATAATATAAAATACTAAAAAAGTATAGAGATTGGGCTCTTAAGAGGCTCTACATTGGCAAAAAACTACTTTATGTAAGGATTACATGTCTGCAACCTCAAAAATTACTCAATATGTTTCCGTCTTTGTGCTAATCAAGCACAATAGCTATTGTTCTACAACAATACCACATCAGCATTACTTTATTCTACATAAGTGGACACTTCTACAAGTACTTAACAAAAAAACTAAAATTCAACATTTTTTTCTTTTTCGTCTGTTTCTAACCCAATCATAGCCAAAACACTGCTACTGCCTGAAGATTCCTGAGAAAAATGAAAACTTTATTATTTTACCATTTTTAACTATCAGAAGTGAGCACGTTAATAAATGTTTCACTGGGTTTTACATTTATTCATTGTAGTTTTTGAGTTTCTGGATTGTCAATACTATTTTCATATTTACTTAGCAAATATATGCAAAATTGAGTAAAAGTGACAGTTGTTGAACATGTGTGAGATGACAAAAGTTCATCATCAAACGGAGGCCTTCCCATAACTTTATTATGCTGATTTTGGAAATTTATAGGGTTAACTACTTCCATTACACCAAAGTGGTTTGAAGACTATTATATGGTTGGATCTCAAATTACATAAAGCACACGAATCCTCGTTTGACTAGACCCTCGGAAGCTCATTGACCAACCAGATATCATCCCACCAGTCTGTAAATTCCCAGCTGTCGGCCATAAGTCAATCCATCGGTTGCTGAGCAGTCGTCCTGCTAGCCAACACAAGAAGTCTCGTATTAAAAGTTGTTAACATGTTGATTTTTTTCGACAAAATATAGTTTTGGGGAGTGGTCACGTCATCGATATGAAAGCTTACTTATACAGTGTGGTAAGCATTGTAAAGAACTCGAACAAATATTGCTTGTTTGATTGC